TCAGAAGCAAAGCTACAGGCGGACAAGGCCAGGCTGAGTGCTCAGAACATCCTGATGAAGACCAACAGGACCAAACAGAAAGTTGACCAGAGCAATGAGGAGCTGCGCAGCCTCATCAGACACATCAGAGACTTCCTCACCCGTATGTGTCACTTCCTGTTTGGTTCAAATGCCTCCATAGTTACGGTTACATCAGTTTTCCAGGGGACAATCAGGACAGATCATTGGAAGGAAGTGAAATTGATTCATTGGCATAAAGACTTCAGTTAAGGTATTTAGCGATTAGGTTCTAACGACCCATTGAAGCAGAGTTGCATGCAGGCTGTGACAGGGACCCCGTAGAGTCTAGACATCGGTGGTGGAGATGAAGATGGCTTGATGGAGCCTGAGCAACATGGCAGAGGGTTAGGGGGGTGGGTTGCACAAAGGTGCACTGAGACTGAAAGTAGAGTCCAGGTTGATTAGACTACAGATGATTGGACTAGACCGGTAACGTTGTATCACTGTGAGAAAGTGATGTAATCGTAGATGAACCACCAAACAGCTGGACAGCAAACAGATGTGTGACTACAGTTCTTCCTTGTTGAACGTAACTATAAGTTTCTTTTTATGAACGCCATGTCTGATGGTGACCATTATGCTCCCCGCCCTCTTCTCCTGAATGGAACGCGTTTTTATTTCAGGAAAAACTAAATCAGTCAGACTCTGTTTTTCCTGAATCATTATTAAGCTGCTTTCTTTTCAAAAGCAAATTCACATTTCATGTTGAACAAACAGCCCTCTTACATAATATTAGCAGGCTTCTTACAGCCTGCTCAACCGTCACATGACATTACGGGAAAAAAATCTATCCAGGTAATAGCCGACACCTGGATCCAAAGCTGCTTCCAGTGCTTAATACAACCAAAACTCCCTAACTGATGGAAAAGAAAATCAATGTTGAGTTTTGTTCTTGTATTTCTGCAGGTCTCATAGATCCTGTTTAACAAACATGAACTCAGAAGCTCTCTCTGTCTGTGCAGCAGCATTAAAGGATCCTAGATCATGTAGTGTACATGAAATCATCAGAAACTAAACCATCTACTCTTGTGTATCTGGGACACTCTCAGAGGCCGACGCGCTCACAGACTCGTTCCTTCGTGTCATCTGCTGCGTACGACACATTAAAGAAACCGCACCATAAGAACCTGCGTAGTGTAAGCTAACGAACACTGAAATCATTTCGGATAACTGGTTTCTGGTAACTTGATAAGCTTTCAGACACGGTTGGATAGACTGAGAATAATTTCGGGTATTTATTTTCATTGATCGGAGATTAAAAGTTCTTTTTAAAGAGGCTGGCTGCAGATAAACTGACTGCATTTGTGGCACTTCAGAGGACGCTGCAGATCTTGAGAGCATTGAACTTGTGGCAAACGAGGTTCTGGACATGCAGATGCCAACCACGCCGGCTCAGCTGCAGAACCTGACCGACGAGATCCGGCAGAAAGTGGGAGAACTGGGACATGTGGAAAACATCCTGCAAGAAAGTGCCGACGACATCCAGAGGGCCGACAAGCTGCTGGACGAGGCTCGCCGAGCCAGGTGAGATTTACCTGTCCATCAGTAATGTTTGCCTGGTTTGCTTCAGCTTCAGGGGATGATATCTTACAAGTTCTCCAGACTGAAATCTGTCTTTCTTTCAGAAGGGATGAATGTTGTTGCAGCTCAAAAGGATGCTTTTGGTAGCCATTAATAAGCTTCTGTCTGGTATCTGAATTCGTTCATAGTTTGTCTTCCTGGCACCGACCCAGCCTTTAAGTATACTCCACAAACTGATCCTGTTCTTGAATATCTTACCCATTTTTCTCTCTTTTGTGACAACTTGGATCTTCTTCCAGACCTCTGCAAATCAGTTGCATATCGGAAAAACTCGTGCTTGCGTACACTTGTTTGAAATTATTGTCTTGAAATATGCTGTTATTTTCTGTTTGTTTTTGGTAGTGTTTGCATGTAACCCATTCGTGTCCGTGATGAGTGAATGGATGAACCTTCTGCCCACAGCTGTACGCGTTTCTCTGCTCACACACAGCTACATTTGCTTTCCTTCCTTTAACCAGCGGCTTCTGAGATGAAGAATCTCTTCTGTGTCAATGCCCTGAGCCGACACGCGTAAGAGTGGCCGAGCTGGGTTCAAGCCAGGAGACCCTGTGAGGCAGCAGTGCTAACCACTGAGCTACTTCACTGTGGCCAGCTTGTTGGATTCAGGAGACAGACACTATCTCTACTTTCAAGATTAGGCTTCAAACTTTCCTTTTTGCTAAAGCATATAGTTAGGGCTGGACCAGGTGACCCTGAATCCTCCCTTAGTTATGCTGCAATAGACGTAGGCTGCCGGGGATTCCCATGATGCATTGAGTTTTTCCTTTCCAGTCACCTTTCTCACTCACTATGTGATTAACAGACCTCTCTGCATTGAATCATATCTGTTATTAACCTCTGTCTCTCTTCCACAGCATGTCTTTATCCTGTCTTCCTTCTCTCACCCCAACCTCACAGCAGATGGCCCGCCCCTCCCTGAGCCTGGTTCTGCCGGAGGTTTCTTCCTGTTAAAAGGGAGTTTTTCCTTCCCACTGTCGCCAAAGTGCTTGCTCATAGGGGGTCATATGATTGTTGGGTTTTTCTCTGTATCTATGAAGCGCCTTCAGGCGACTTTTGTCTTTTGTTGGCAGCATTTTGCTGGTTGCCTATATAAATAAAATTGAATTGGCTGCATTTAGCTACGTGCAGTGAATTAAAGTGACCCTGCCTACCTTCCTGTGCTGTCGGTCATGATCAGAGAGCTCAGGCTGTCTTTTTGTCAGAGTTTCTCAAAGTTTTAACAGCTGGTACAATGAATTAATGATTAATAAATATTGATAGCAGCACAGTTTGTCTTATCAATACTGCAGTATTGATAACGCTTATCGGGTCTTGCAACCTCGCTACAATCAGCTGATTTCCGTTTGTGTGTCAGAGGAAAACAGTAGTGCCGTCTCCAGTGGGGACATGACTTTTATTTATATGGCATTAAAGGATGAGAGCACGATGGTAAAGTGGAGACTGCTCCAGGACAGAAACAGCTCCATTATGATGCTAACAGACTTCAGCTCTTTGCACAGACAGCATGCTAACTCTAAGCTAGCCAAGAACCCAGAATGATGCTAAAGCTGAGTGTGTGCAGACCTCAGCCCAGCACCCAGAGCCTGAACTTCAACAGGGAATAAACTGTTGAGCAGTCAGGCTGCAGCCTCTGTCTGTTCATGCTTCTATAAATCTTCTACAGTAGAATCACCATGACGACCGCTGTGTTCATACCTGAACACTAAGAGAAAGATGATGTGTGTCCTCATCAGGACAGGCTTCATGTCGGTGTGGGGCTGAAGTCTCAGGTTTATAGTGTTAAATGATGAGTTTCAGTTTATTTTACAGAGAAACTTGAAAATAATGTAACAAATTTCTTTCTCCTGGGTGTAACTAAGTAACTACTGCATTACTTTAAAGAAAAGTGTTCTGTGTAATATGTGCAATAATTACTTTGTTGAGTAACAGCGCTGATCACAACAAACACCTCCAAGATGCACAAACATATGACCCGCAGCAGGGGCGATCGTGGCTCAAGAGTTGGCAGTTCGTCTTCTAATTGGAAGGTTGCCGGTTTGAGCCCCGGCTTCCTTGGGCAAGACACTTCACCCGTTGCCTACTGGTGGTGGTCAGAGGGCCCGCTGGCGCCAGTGTCCAGGCAGCCTCCCCTCTGTCAGTGCGCCCCAGGGACGGCTGGCTACAATGTACTTGCCATCACCAATGTGTGAATGTGTGTGTGAATGTGTGTGTGAATGGGCGAATGAATGTTGTGTAAAGCGCTTTGGGGTCCTTAGGGACTAAGTAAAGCACTATACAAATGCAGGCCATTTACCGCAGCAGGCAGTGTATGTGACCATTCACAGTGACTGTCCATGAGTTTAATGTCTTTGAGAGGCTGCTTAGAGATGGTGAAGCCAATGAAAATCAATAGGAATCGAATAGATAAGTGATTTTGATAATGGAACTGGAATCACTAAATTCAGATTCCCTGGCCTACCTGAAAGTTTCACCTGTTCACTGAACCTGATCAGCTGTCTTCCTGCATTCCTCAGCGAGGAGGCGCGTGATGTCAGAGACTCTGTGGAGAAAGTGAAGCGAGCACTGGAAGAAGCTCAGAGAGCTCAGACGGCTGCCAGCAGTGCTATCCAGCAGGCCACGGCCAACATCCACAACACCAGCCACCTGTTGTCCTCGGTGAGTCTCACGGTTACTGCCTGTTGACTCTGCACACGGCTATTTGCAGCTATCTGCACGCTGTGCAATGACAATGAAGAGTTATCTTATCTTATCTTATTTCCTATCAGAAACATGCAGGTAACATGTCAAATGCCCGTGTTGTGTTCAGGTGGAGTCGGAGACGGCAGATGCTGAGTTAAAGCTTTCAAATGCCACCCAGAGGCTGCAGAAGCTCGAACAGGATGTGACGCTGCTGAAGGAGAAAGCTGTGAACGTTACTCTTAGTGCCAAACTGACCAATCAGGAATCAGTGAGCGTCAGAAGCACGGCAGAGGAGCTGAAGAAGGTGAGCTCACCTGTGTGATCATTAGAGGCTTTCAGGTTGGTCTGTTTCCTTTGTAACATTAGGTGTTTGTGTTAGGAGCTGGACGGCGAGCTGAAGGAGAAGTATGCCACCGTGGAGCAGCTTATTGGTCAGAAGACGGGAGGCATGGTTGACGCCAAGAAGAGGGCACAGTCACTTCAGCAGGAAGCCAAAGAGCTGCTGCTGCAGGCCAGTGACAAGCTGCAGCTGCTGAAAGGTGACACCACACTGTACTCCTACAGAAAATGTTTCAAGCTGAGCAGGCGGGACATCCCTTCATGTATGCTCTTCCCATTTCAGATTTGGAGAAGTCTTATGAAGACAACGAGCGCGCTCTGGAGCAGAAGGCAGAGCAGCTGGTGGAGCTGGAGGCAGCAGTGAAGGGGCTGCTGCAGGAGATCAGCCACAAGGTGACCGTCTACAGCACCTGTGTGTTTTAGGATCGAAGGTGACCGAACGTCTCGAAGACAAGAACTGCTCCACTTGTATTTTCTTCTATAGTTTTTACTTCCATGTTTAATCCTCGTGTTAATCTCAATAAAAAGATCAAATCGGACTCAGTTTGCTGCTCATTTATTTCGACAGGTAATTTTACCTGATTGTCACCAGCAGTCGGTAAAACTGAACTCCTGGTTAAATATATAATTCTGCATATTTCCAGTTTACAGCAATAACACGTGAAGGGGTGAAAGCAAAGTATTCTATATATTGCACGCCCTTTGTTATTTTAGATTGTAAGATGTAAGATTGGTCAAAATCTTTGCTTCTTTTACTTCATTGTTACTTCATTTTGTTTCTTTTGCAATATTTTATTTGACGATTCCTTTAACTGTGAAGTCGTGTGATCCGCAGCTGAGATTGGATTAATTTAATAAGCTTTGTTTTTTCCAAAACTATGGCCATTACCACTACTGTGCTGCCTGTGCAGGTCAGCGGCCGGCCCGGGTTCGAATCCTTTGCCGCATGTCTTCTCTCTCGCTCTGTTTTCCTGTCGCTCTTCACTGTTGCTGTCAAATAACACCAGAAAAAAGGGCCAAAAAGAAAAGGCTAGCATCAATTAGCACAGAGCTAGCTAATGTCAATATAACTAAGGGGGCTGTTACTGAGATTGGAGATGTAGACTGTTGACCAACAGGTGATGAAAGTGGAGAAATGGGCCCTGTACTGAATGAAGATGCACTCAGCTGCCTGGTTAACTCACTACAGACTGTTGTGCTAATGTTAGCACTGTCCTGATAACAGTAATTAGGCGTGTTATGGTTACAGTAGCTTTATAGCATCAGGTAACATTAGCGGGTCGCACAGAATGAGGATCCAACACAAACTGGGAGAGAGAAGACAAAACTGAATGGTCGGCAGTAGTGTGTGTGTATAAACACCCGGGGAATGAAAAGAGGCATTCAGTGCATTCATCTCTCCATAGCCTGAGGTTACAGCTGCATGGCTTAGAGCGGTTAAGGGTCATTCACTTCTCCATGTGACGACAATGATCTTAAATGTAATTCTGGATTTAAAAGAAAACCAGTGAAGAGAAGCTAATATGCACATCTGTACACTGAAGGACATATTCTGGTCAAAAATGACTTTTCCAGCGTCGCTCTGAGACAGGATGTAAATAGATGTTTCTAGAACATATCTGGAGCTCCATGACCAGACTTCATGTGTGAACAACACTCTGGTTCCAAAATGGTTCTGCAGCGAGGACCAATCGGTTTACACTCCGACGACATCTTTTTCATACCATTAAGAAACAAACACTCAGAGCTGCAACTACCAGAAACTGGCATTGTTGGCTGTGTGGCAGGCAGGCAGGAAAGAGCGGGACTGGAACTCAAAACAGCTTTATTGCTGCCAAAACTTACAAAAGCAAAGCAAAAACAAAACAAGACTTTGAACCAAGGTGCAGGAAAACTGGACAAACACACAGCATGTTGAGGGTACGACGCAACAGAGAGCAAAGGCAAACACGGGGCTTAATTTCACCAAGTAATCCTCCTCAGTCACTGCTCTGTTTCCTCCATTCAAAGCCTCAGCGACACAGGAAGCTTCTTTCTCACCACTCATTTCAGCTAATTTGCTTACTGAGTCTTATCTCAGGAAGTTACCGTGACAAGAGAAAGACAGATTTAAATCTTACCACATTATTAAATTATTTTGAATTTTCTTCCTAGAGTAATCACTTGTTTTGCTCAATCGCCACAAGAGCACTTCCAATTCACTAATTACTTCAAGGTTTAAGTGTGTTAACTTCACACTATTCTAACACTTATGAAAGTAGCAAGCTGATTTTCATTACATATGTCTGTGTTCTTAGCCAGGTTTAATCAGTGTCTGTGCATTAATCTTCATGAGCTCTCTTGTATAAGGTTAATGCATTTTCTGTTTGTGTGATTTTGGATACGTTTCTTTTTTGGGGATCCGGCGGTTTGTCTGTGAATGTCACATTCCCGTGGCAGCGTGCTCTCTGCTCGCTCAGATTTGAAGTTTCATCTTTCGATGTAGAAAGGAGTTTTCTTCCCACGCAGAGGGAACAGCAGACGCTAATGTTTGTGTCCCTTTTTACGGATTTAAACTCAAAGTAATGTGATTACTTCCACGCTTTAAACGCTGCGTGGTCTTACTTTCTCCATCGCTCCATATTATCCATTGTTGATCTGCACACGTCTGTTACCACGAATGGCGCACACGCTTATGTCATTGTCATGAGACACACTCATAAAAAAAATCACGGTTTAGTAGCACAGTAACACAGCGTGCTTATGGGAAAGTAACAGTAATCTAATTACTTTTTTTGCAATAGTAGTCCCTTATATTACTTGTTAATTTAAAAAACTAAAAGAGATATAGGTATATACACACAGGTATGTGTGTGGGAAGCTCACCTCCAATTATCCTTTCGACACACCGCACAACTCTCTGGAGAGCTTTGCAGTTGTTCAAAGCTGACCTCTCCCTTGTGTTTCCAAGGTTGTGAGTACAGCATGAACAGCGGCATTTTCCATGCTAATATTTTTTATGGGTGTTGTTACACATCAACAACCTTTTCAGATGTCCCTATAATCTCAGAGAGAAACTGTAAACGTTTTGCAGTGGGCAAAATGATCCCGTACTGAGAGGGAGAGCTTTATTACAACAAAGTAAATGTCCTTGAATGATGAGGGTGACGACACTTTGAATGCAGGAACATATTGATTGTAACTACCCCTGTGTTTATGAGCCATCGCCCCTTTCACTTTGTCTTTACCTGCAACCAAGAACAAAGACCACCAGTCCACCAGTAGCAACAATCCCACCACAGTTTCTCCAGAAATTACATAGTTGTTTTTTTTCTCCTGTGGATATCACAATAGGAAAGTATGCAGTGAACTTGTCAAATTTACTCTATTTATTATGGAAATCGTGGAAATTGCCAGCAGCTGTTTGATGAAGACATAGTTTGATGTTTAGGATGAAACACAACCTAAACATACTTATTAACCTACCTATTAACCTAAGCAGTAATAAGTAGGTGATGAGGAATGTGAAGCCAAAAATGAATTAAAAAAGACAGAAATCTAACTGAAAGTGTGCAGAGTTAGTCAGTCAGATGGGTTCTCAGGGGAGGGTGAAATCAGTAGACAGAATGGCTCAGATGTTTTTGTCCACAGATGAACAGAGTTCTTATAAAACAACCAACAGCTTCATTCCTGTGTGTTTGTGTCTCTGTGTGTGATAGAGAGACTGTTTCCAGGAAATCAGGATGTGGGAGTCTCTTTGGGAGAACACGGTTCCCAATTCTGTTCCTTTGTGTGTGTGTTGTAACTAATGTGGGAGGAGCCATTGACAAACAGCTGGAGCAGAGAGCTGATCACTGAAAACAGACAGATTCAGACAGAGAGACAGACAGAGGTGTTTCAGAGAGAGGTGGGACGCTGAAGACAGAAAAATGTCTTTTTTTGATTTCTGGAGCAGCACGAAGGAGAGAGGCGCGCTGCTGAGAAGAGCCAATCAGCTGAGGCTCAATCCTTCACAGCTGTAAGTCTGATTTAAACTGGTTTTCAGTGAAACGTGTGGGACAGTAATAGACTTTGGTTCACAAACCTGCACTCCTTCCTCTGTGTAGAACTGCAATCCTAAAATGCTATTACTATTATAATTACTATTACGATCGTGGCTCAAGAATTGGCAGTTCGCCTTGTAATCGGAAGGTTGCCGGTTCGAGCCCCGGCTCAGTCAATCTTGGTCGTTGTGTCCTTGGGCGAGACACTTCACCCGTTGCCTACTGGTGGTGGTCAGAGGGCCCGGTGGCGCCAGTGTCTGGCAGCCTCGCCTCTGTCAGTGCGCCCCAGGGTGGCTACAATATAGCTGCCATCACCTGTGTGTGAATGTGTGTGTGAATGGGTGGATGACTGGATGTGTAAAGCACTTTGGGGTTCTTAGGGACTAGTAAAGCACTGTACAAATACAGGCCATTTATGACAATGGAGGATATTTTTTAGAAGCATTGCTTTAGCAAAAAAAAGTAAGAAAATACTAAGAAAAATAATACCACAAATAAAACTGTGTTATTGGCACATAAAGTAGGTGGTTTATGGTTATATGGATCAAAATTAATGTTTCATATGTTTCTTTTACGGTTTCTTCTTTTTTACTTTTTGCTTTATTTGAGAGTTTTAGCATCTGAGAGTGGAGAGGAAAGAGGGGCAAAGTGTGCAGGGGACAGGCCTCTCTACTTTTACAATTAGGCTTAAAACTTCCCTTTTGATAAAGCATATCGTTAGGGCTGGATCAGGTGGGCGGCACAGGATTTCAGAAAGGATTTGTATTGATTTTGTATTGAAGACAGCCTTTGTTCTTTATCATTCACATCTCTGCAAAGTTTTCCTCAATGAACACATAAAAAACACACGTTCAGCTACGCACTCTAGGTACGACTACACGTCAAGAGTCCTGAATGTGTGAAGAGGAAGCCTTACGTAACTTACGTAACATCACAGGCAGAAATTTAAAAGACAGCAAAGTGTTAAGTTGATTAAAAAAAATCAAACAATAAAATCAAAAACTCCTCTTGATTGGACGTTAGCTGACCTCACTGTAACCCTCACCCATTTCTGTAGGTTGTGTGATGTAAAATGTTTCATAACAGATATAAGACGCCCTACCCAGTTTAATGAGTCACTACTCATTAAACTGGGTAGGGCAGTGTTGGTCAAGTTCCTTGAAAAAGTAATTAGTTACTAAATACTGATTACTTATTTTCAAAAGCATTTACTTAGTTACTTTTCAAAAACATGATACACAACCTGAATACGTTATAGAGCAATAGTCCTTCCAGCAAATTCTATTTTTTCTGCATAATCCAGCATATAAAACATTTTTTTGTGTGTTTACACTCACTCTTTCAAATAGATTACAGTATCGCATTACTTGCCTATCTCTGGTGCCTTAAATCTGACAAAATTAATTTCACACAAATACATTTAACTGATTTCTAAACGTGTGCGGTCTGTGGCGCCCCCCTAAAGTAAACCCGTTAAGTGCTTTAGCTCGGGCTTATATCCCAGAGTGCTCACGACT